ACGTGAATAAATATCCTGCACTTTAGAAAATGTAATCATGCTGTTGAGGACTGTTCTACAGAAGACACCAGCACTCTGAAGAAGCTAAGTAATGGCTGCTTTTTGTGGAAGCGCTAAAGAATATGGTGATCGCTGATGGGTTTTCCCGGGGTTATGTTTTTAATAATTGTTATATTTTCAAAATATAAAAATATATAGGTTGCAGTTATAATCAGGAATAAAGATTAAAAAACAGCATATATTATTTTGTATTTGCATTTACCTTTATGGCATATATGCAGAGCAAAAGGCCTGGGGTAAAGTCCTCAAGAGGTTAACAGTGGTTTTCTTTAGGGCTGGAAAAACAGATGATTTTTTGCTTCTTTCTTTTAACTTGCCATTTTTTTCTGTATGATTATGTATTCTTTTTATAAGAAAAAATTTTATTTCCAATAAGTACAAAAGTTAAATAAATTACATGAATTTAATTAAATTATACTGTCAAGTTATCTAGGCATTATTTTGAGAACTCATGAAAGACACTGTAAGTATAGAAACTTTAAAAAAGATTTATTTATTAAGAATAGTTTATTGATTTTTAGAGAGAGAGGAAGGGAGAGGGAGAAAGAAAGAGAAACACTGATGTGAGAGTGTAACCTCGATCGGCTGCCTCCTGCATGCCCGCTATCGGGAATCGAGCCCGAAACCTGGGCATGTACCCTGACCAGTAATCAAACTGGCGACCCTTCAGTGACTGGGACAATGCTCCAACCAACTGAACCACACTGGCCAGGGCAAATCTTTTGTTAATGGAGAAAAATATGACTCTGGAAATTATAAAACTGGAAAATTTGCTTAGAACTTCTGAAAGCAAGTGTGTCATTGGGCTGGGAGAATACCTAAGTCCAATTGTGAATTATAGAATTGGTTTCTAATGCAACGTAACTATCTATTTCTGTTGCCAAATCTATTATCTTTTAGTACATGCTACACCGGAGATTAGGAATCCACATATTCAGCAAAAGATTTACCATGAGGAAGTAAAAATAATTAGTCATAATTTATACAGGTGCATATTTATAGGTAGAAGATAAATGTTTGAAAAGATGGCACCAAGAGAAAGGAAGAAGCCAGTATTATTTTAGAATATTATTTGATTTTCTTCTTTAAACCCATATGCTTTGCATTTTTTTTACAAGTTAAAACTAAACACTACTTAAATATTTATCAAACAGCTGAGATTTCTCTGAATTGCATTTAGCAAGAGCTGAGTAAATCCGTTGCTTATGGGTATTTATTGAAAGGAAGATTAGGTATGTTTTTAGCCATTACTTTTGTAGAGTTTACTTTTGTGAGCAAAGTAATGTTAAGTTCTTAGAGGTTCTTGTGTATTGTCAATTATCACAGTCTGAAAATAGGAGTTACAAACTCCATGATCAATAATTTTTACCTATTAGTAAATGTCATGGTAGATTCTTCAAAAGGTAACTTGTATCATTCAATCTGAAACGTGAAAATTAAATCCTGAAAGCTATACAAATGCTAATACTTGAACACAGATGTCCAATAATGCTTACCTGAAAGACGAAAACATATGTATTTAGCATAGTGTGACAGTTAATAGGCCAATTGCCTAGCATATATTATCCCATTGAATCCTCACCACAAACCTGTGAAGTCAGTCTAGTAGTCAGGATAGTCACCAACCTACAATCTCAGTTGCTTATAACCCACCAAGTTCATTGATGGGCAGTTCTGGACCCTGTTCTACCCTCAGGCTGACCGAGTGGCCAGCAGCTGAGGGGCAGGAGAGCTCGGAGACTCTCACACCTTCATTTCAAAGCTTCAGACTAGAAATTGGGAACTTCACTTCCACTCACAACTCACTGTTCCAAAAGGGCCAGCTGGGAGCAGCCACTAGGGGTAGGGCAGGGAGTGCAGTCCTACTGTGTGCCCAGGAGAGGTGGGAACTGGAAGTACTTGGTGAATAGCACTAATCACTGCTGCAGTAAGTGGTGTCCCTATTTTACACCCAAGGAAACAGTCTGAGAGGTCAGCTAGCCGAGTCACAGAGCTGGTAAGTGGAAGAGGTAAGATGCTATTGAAAGGCTAAGGCTGAACTTGAAGATCCACACTCCTTTCCTTCCCTGCCAGGCTCTCAAACTGGCTCCGGCCTCCCTTCCATCCTCGTGCCCGGCTCTCCCCCTCATCGCCGGCTTTGCAGAAGCAGCTCTGTCCTTCCCGCTGTTCACCAAGCGGGGCTCTTGCCCACTTCAGAGCCTTTGGAGGCTCCTTCTTCGTGTGCAGATCGCTGCTTCCTCCTTCCCCCCCTGCTGCTGCTCACTCTAGGTTGGCTGCTTCCTCAGGGAGGTCACCCCTGCCTCCCAACCTAACCCCCCCCCGGACTTTTCCATTATAACAGTCGCCACAGTAGATTTTGTTCATTTAATTGCTGTCTGCGCATTATGGTGGCAAGAGCCTAGGGAGCAGGGGCTATGCTTCGTTCAGCAAAATTAGTAAATTCTTAATATTTATTGAATGAAATGAGTTTTAGTCAATTTATGTTTCTCTTCTTTTAAGCTTTACCAGAAACCCCAATGCTAGAGATGGGAAAACCCAAAACAACCATAAAAATTAAAAAATTTTCCTCTTTATTCTGGTAATTTTTTTATTTATTTACTTAAAAAAATTTTTTGCCAAAAAATATTGAAAAATATCAAGCTTTTTGGACTATCGATTTTTAGAATGAGTTATAAAACATTTAAGAAGAGTTTGCTCTCTTCCAGGCGATTTCTGTAAGTAGAAAGGATATAGAAAACCATCCAACCAATGACTGCACTTGAATAAATAAGTACCTTTTACTTTTTTCCCAGACATTTCTTACCAAATGGCTTACAGACAATATCATCTGCTCTTGTTTTTTGTGCTTTCCTGCTCACACATATCAGATGAAGAAAAGCCAAAGGCTTCACTAAGCGATGGAAGGAATTTAGTTGTCAGCCAGTTTGTGCGGCTGCACTTCTGAGAGTCCCGGACGCAGAGGAAAATGTAAGGGGGATGTGCTCTCATTTGCATCACAAAACACGTGGCACATTTGGAAACTAGCACCACAAGGGTAATTTTAATGCTGCAGAACACATTTTTCTACTGATGTGTGGTCTAGGAACAGTGTTTTTATTCTGTCAGCTCTGCCTCCCACCCAACTCTCCAAAATAGAAAAACTCTTGCAAAGTCCTTTGCAAAAAGTATTTGAGACTACTTGCTCCTTGTGTATTTGCAACTCCTTCATTTCAGCAAGACTGACAATTTTTTTATGCATACTGGGGGCTTTATGCATGAGGTGGAGCTGAGGCTTAAATAGGAGAGCAGTGGGGCAAGGGAGCCCTCTACCAGTGGGCACTGATGGGAAGCAGCCGTTTAGAAGGCTTGCCTCATACAAATACATATGCTACGACTGGTGAAAGGGAAAGCGAATATACTCCAGTGTTATTGGACTGAAGGGGTCCATTTGCCTGTGAATAAGACAAAAACAGGAGTTTGCAGCAAAGAAGGTAAGGGTTTATTTTTAGGAAGTGGTCCACACCCAGAGACACAGGTGAGCTAATGCTAAAAACTTGGCTCCCCGATGGTTTTCAGGGGATGGGTTAAATAGGAGAAAAATCGTTAATCACGGTGACTAAGGGAGTTAGGGTCGTGGCCCCGGTCATGGTCTCTGCTGGGGTAGGGGGCAGTTGATCAGTGCATCTGGTCGTGATGTCAGTCATGGTGTTGCATTTTGTTGACTGTGTTGATTTTATTATTTAATTTTTATGAAGGAATACTTATTGCTCTTATTTCCAACTCCTTTAGGAGGGAAACATCACACTGGGCCCTGTGTGTCTGATTACAAAAACATAATAACCTCCCAAGTTTAGAGAAATAGATAAATATTTCATATCATCTTGTAAAAAAGTCATTAAATCTATGGAAATCAAATGATCTTCTATGTGTTAGTACTTCTTCAAAGACTTATTTACTGAAGATGAAAGGGAAAGATCATCATTATTAATCCCAAATGAAACATACACACACACATCACACAATACCCAACTATTTATCTGGGATAAACATCTCCAGTGAGTTCCAGAATGTTGATAGAATATTCAGTTCTTCCTTATTGCCCAGATTAAAGTCATGATGTAGTGACAACCACCCAAGGATCTAAGAACGTTAAAGTGAACTTATTCAGCCTGCACAAAGGTCCCATCTACCTTCATTTGTAAATTTCCCCCAAGATCCACTGTTAAACACAAATCCAGGAAAAAATATATGCCTTTTACAAATATTTAGAAAATAACAACAGAGTTGTACCCTGGAGTTGTGCCCTCTGGTAAGGCAGGTTCTAAAGTGGACTCTTGCTGTCAATGGGGATTTTGTGGATATTTTTGGAGGTCCTGCCTGGTACTCACTATATCTCCTGGTGTGGCTGGTGCCTCCACTAGCTTTTTGCTCAGTAGTATACCTCCAGCAGTGGTCAGTTTTATGTCTCAACTGGGCTATGTCATAGAACCCAGTCACCCAGACACTAACTGTAGGAGGAATTAAGAACATGCCACTAACATCTCCAATTAGTTGACTTAATGTAAAGGAGATTATCCTTGATAATCTGGGAAAGGGGTTCAATTGAAAGGCCTTAAGAGCAAACTGAGGTTTCCCTGAGGAGGAAGAAACTCCCTTTGTGAACTGCAGGGACATCTCTTGTCCAACAGTTTTTAGCCTGTCCTTCCTGGGAGCTCGCCCTACTAGCCCCTCAATCTTGTAAGTTAACTCCTTGCAATCTCTCTCTCTCTCTCTCAAATGCTTAATACCTTAGGGACAAGTCCTCTAAGTTGGGGAAATGTTTATTTTGTGGCTAGCAGAAGATAAGGGGATGCACTTTAAAACATTTGCTAGGGGCCTCAGAATCATAATACCATAGATGTTGTCGTAGTTTGGGTCCTGACAGAAGAAACCCTGAGACAAGAATTGAGGTGTTAAGTATTTGGGAAGTGATCTCGATAAAGACCAGAGGGGTGGAGAAAAGTGAGAAGACAGGGAGGAGAAGGGGGGGCCACAGAAATCTCCACTGTGGGCGTCTTCATCTTAATCCCCCTGTGAAGCTCTAGAAGTCAGTGAGAACATGCACTTTAGAATAACCCACCTGAACGGTGAGGGAGCTGGGGTGTTACACACTGAATCTGTTCAGTCACTGCTTGGGGGCTGCTTCCAGGAGGCGCTCATGCCCCTGTACTTTGGCCCCTACCAGTTTAAGTGCAGGGGTAGCCTTCCAGCCTCTGGAAGTCAGGCCTGAGAATGCTACAGTCCCACAGCAGGGGAGAAATGGGTGAAGTGCTGACAGTGTCTGCCAGAGGTGTCAAAGTTTACTTAACCCAACACACATCACTTAGGAGGATGTGTGAGAAACAAACTCCTTCCTTCATGGACTCAAAGCTCCTCCTCTCCCCCAATATTAAACTGTTCTCATCAGTTCCCAGAATTACGTCTTTAGCAAACATAATGGTGTACATTTGGTAAGTTCTTTGACATTAATGTTATGTTTATAACCAAAATGCCATTTATTCCACTACAATCTTAAAGAAGATTGGGGGACAGCTCAGAATATTTATAGTTGTTAAAGCAAAAACAAATATTTGGTTACAAATACTTAATTTGTGGATTGCTTTGGCTTTGGTGGAAATATCTACCTTCTCCAAAGTTCGGTCCCTGGGCCTTGAAATGTTTAACCCAAGAAGCAACTTCTGTGATCTAGTTCTTGAAAGTAGCTTCCAATGCTCGAGCTTTTTCGGTAATGTTCTTCTGAAAGGGCATCATGAAGTCTTCAAAGTCCACCTCGTAAGTGAACCTCTCCCTCCGCAGCTCCCTCTTTCTGATCAGCTCTGCTGTTGTAGCTTCAGGACTCCAGATCTTAAATGAAAAACCACAGCCAGAGCAGGTATGAGTGTGACAGACAACACACATGCTATTGCCAAATAATTTTCAATATGGCTAATTTAAAACTATCAAATTCTAAATCTATTTTAACTTGGTTTTTCCTCTTACATGACATCAGTGGTTACATGGGCATCACTATTTCTGATGCTATTATGAAAACTGAAAATGCTCTTTAGTTACCTCTCTAATGACCTTTGGGCATGCTGCTTTTCATTTTTAGGATTTCAAAACCAGAAAACAATAGAATAAGAAGATCATTTGGGTTTACTGCCATTATGTCTCATGTGGAAATCAAAATTATCTTTACAGTAGAAGGCAGAGGGAACTGGTGGTCTCTTTTTTCAGGAGGGTTGGATGGGCATTCGAAAGACCACTCTTATTCCCCAAAGATGTCTCCACCTCTTTAATTGTAGATGTTTCAGGAAGCTACTGACCAAATCCACTCTAATTAGTAGGAAATCTATAGCACTTGGTGACCAAATGGCTATAGGGAATGATATTCACCAAAGAAGACTTTCATCTTTCAAGAAAAGTAAAAAATGTCAGTCTAGAAATTGTGATAAGAGAGAGACAGATACTGGGAGCTAAACAAGTTGGGCTTACTGAGTAGAAATAGCAGGACCTGGCAAAGGACACCTTCAAAGAGGAACTGTGAAACATACCCTCTGGACATTTGTTTGGGTGTTCTGCATAAAAAATATTTGGAAAATGACATTGTAAGTTTATACCACATTATTAAAATCTTTCCAAAGTACTTACCCTCCGTGGAGTAAATGTGATATCCACTTTCTTGGTATAACCACTGGTAATCAATGAGTTGAGATGAACTACATTATCCTTATGCATTTTCTTTGTCTCCAATATGGTTGGTACGGTATAAACCAATGAAAGTGGTTCCTGGAAATAAGGCCAAAAACCCCTATTAATTCCATAAACCTATATACACTCTAATATTATTTGTTGTTTTAGATCTCACTCTGAAGCCAGAAAACTAAAAACTAAAAATGCTACTACACAAATTATAACTTGAAAGGAAATAGAATATTATTTTAACTATGGGTAGGGAGAGAGAATTAGTTTGCCTTGTTTAACTCTACTTAATTAGTAGTATCAGTAACAGATCTCATAAGTTCAAGATATCCATCCTTGACCTGTGACCATTCATTAGTCAGAGGGATGTATTCTTACTGAAATGATATTGGTGTGCATAGTAGGAGCTTTAGCTGATTGATCTTCCTTCACCTCTGGCAATTCTTACTCTTGTTGTCCATGTTTGTTACTCTCTACTGTCTGCCTACTATCCCTCCACTCTATCCACTTCTACCACCTACATTCCCTCTTTCCATTTGATAACAATAAAGCTTTTCCTTCTTAAATTTCACCCCTTGTCATGTGTCTGCAAGAATCCCCAGTGATCCTTCTGCTTCCCTAAAAGAAGCTTCTAGCCTAGAAATGCACTTAGAGCTTCCCTGCTAATGACAAGGCGTGATGTCTCAGAAATCCTCTAGGCAACAGCCTCAAGCTTCTGGTAGTCCAGAGGAAACCACACCACTCCAGGTTACCAGCATCAGTCAACATGGTGCTTTAAACCTTTGGAGTCATAGTGTGTGATATCCAAGTGATAAGTGGCCCCATATCTCAGGGTTCAGTGGTAGTCATTAAAATATGTTGGGCAGGGGTGGTTTAAGATGAGTAATGAAGATGAAAATGAAGGAAAATTATGCTTTACTTCATTCCTCATAAGGGTTACCCTCCTTCCCTTTTGGGCCATCTCATCAAATCTGTATAATTCAGGACCAAATATACATTACACACACACACACACACACACATGCAAGTATCCAATATCAGTTCTTTTTTCAAATTCTAATCGTATTTGGCTGCACCAACTTGGTTTTTTGTGTGGATTCTGTATGCAAGGGATAGTTTTGAGAATTTTCTTGCTAGATATTTCTTTAAAAGTATTGCATAATGGTGCTGAAAATATAGACTGCCTATTACTCGGCCCATGTTGTGTAACAGTATGTAAACAGCGCCACTGCTCCATTCCCCAACAAGTTCTTAAGGCATTCCAGTCATTAATGGGTAATCATTTGCTTCTCTTACCTCTTCTTTCTTAATTTCAGGACCTTCAGTTTTCACTTTAAGAGGTGGCTTGCCTTTCAGTTTTTGGGCGTCTGCTGGTTTTGGCAAGTTATCTTGCTTTTCTTTAATCAAACTAATTACTCTATAGTCAGCGTATGCCTTTGCAATATCCATGGCAGTGTGCCCTGTTTAAAACATAAATCCAGAGCTATAATAACCAGGTTAATAATAAACTATGTAGAAAAACCTCAGCACATCAGCACTAAGCATGTGGTAGTAAGGGTGTTTCTAAAACAAATGGTTTGTGTAAGGTCACAGAGCTAGATCAGATATTCTCAACGGTGGACCCAACTCTAAAACATTATAATTAAAGTGTCATTTACTGGCAAAACAATTTTTTCTTGTTAAGTTTTTTGAGCGTGTTTCTTAAAAAGTCAATGGAAATTATTGGTAGATTACCATTTGAATATCTGATCACTGGTTCTCATTCCACACTGTGCACATTTCCTTTCATGTGACAACTTTGTCCTCCCCTTTCCATGATATAAGGAGGTATATTCTAAAAGGCCTGGGGAAACTGGTGGTCACAGGGCTCTAATCAGGTGGCTAGGATTTATGACACTGGCAATGTCCTTGGCCCAGCCTAGCACAATACTACTCATGACTCAGAGGCAGCCTGAAGCAGCCAAAGGTTTAATGTTCTCCGATTCCTCAAAAGGAATCCCTCTCTCCCTCTCCCTTCCTCTCTCTCTGAAATCAATAAAAACATATATATACATATTTAAAAAGGGAAGCAATGGGTTCCACTATAAGAAAATGATAACTAATTTTCTAAGCAAGGAGCTCAAATATTTAAGCAAATGGTTTTTTATTCTTCACTTGTGATATTTATAAGGTAGGCCTTCCATTTACTTCCTACAGAGCCTCAGTTCAAAAATGACTTTGTCCACCTTTAGAAGGAATCCAAATCCAGAGGCTTTAAACTATGCCAATTATTAGAAATTGACAGTTAAAACAGTGTGATAACTCAAGGTATGATCTGCACAGTTGTGAAGTCCACAAACTAATGGTCACTGAGCCACAATGAAATAAGCACAGAAATTAAGAGTAAGTAACTCTTCCAAGTACTGAAGTTTTCTGTCATTTGAATCTAATAAAAATGTTTGGGCTTGTATTTTGTGGAGTTTTCCCCCACTTTATTTTCTAGTAAATAATTTTTTATTGCATTTTTCAAAATAACAGTCCATGAAAGATTGCAAACACAAAGAATTAGCCCTGTGATTTGCAAAGCACTGAGTGTAAGACAAACTTCCATAACATTTAACTCAGGCTTATGTTGCAACAGTAATTCAGAGGAAAATGTGGTCCTACAAGAACAGAATCAGAAGGAGTTTGGAATTGAACATAAATTCTCCTTTTCTAACCCTAACCATCAATAATATGAACACATACCTTTTCTATTTTCCAGCTGGAATTTAGCACCAATATCAAGTAGGTATTTGACAGTATCCAGTCTACAGCTCTCAATGGCTCTACTTAAAGGAGTCGAGTTGTTGATTGACATTGCATCTATCATGGCTCCATGTTTTACAAGAAGCTCAACAATATCTTGTTGGCCCGTATGGCATGCAAAATGAAGCGGAGTCCACAGAAAATTATCTGTTGCATTAACGTTAGCCCTACAAGATAAGATAAATGCACAAGCTAAAAATGTGGGTTGTTCCAAGCACTGGGGGCTAAAAATGCTAAGTAAGACTTCATAGTTTCATCAACTTGTTCAACTGTAAACCAACGAAGCTCTGCATCAAGTTAAACTCTGTGTCATAATTTTTCTTGACAAGTATCCTGCATTATCTGACCATCTTAACTTTGTGTATACATTTTGTTTAGCTTTAAAAGGCACTTAAGATCTTAGGGGTTATAATTTTGCAAAGGTTAAAATCAAGGAAGATTATAAAACTGAATCCAATGAAGATAAAGCTGACAGGAAATATGTCATATTATTCCATTTTGTGTCTATTTCTGCAAACTATGAATTTTTAAAGTGCATCTTCATTATTAAAGTTCTAAGCAGCACTTTATTATTTTAAATTCTAGTCTTTTTTAAAGATTCATTGTCCAAAAGACTGAATCCTCATTAGTTGCTTTACACTCCCTCTTGATAATATACAAATTTGAATCCTTTTTTGACATTAAATACTTATAGTCATAATAACAATACCTTTTATCAAGTATGAAATTACTGTGCTAATAAGTGCTTTACATAGTTAATTTTATCTTCAACAAATTGTCTGAGGTGAGTCCCATTGGGGCCAATTATAAAAATGAGAAAACTGAGGCACAGAAAGGTTAAGAAACTTACCCTAGGTTATTTAATTATGGTAAAAGAAGGAATTAAACCCCAGTAATTGCTTTAGATTAAAAAGTTAAATGAAGATGTTTACAAACAAACCAAGGAAAAGACTGCTCTCTCTGCAGAAGGGAGTCAAACATGTCCTCAGTCATTATAGCCAACATACCACTTGTTGGAATTTGTTGGGATTCCCCTACACACACACACACACACACACACGAGGCAGATTAAAAAGTGACTCCACGTAAAATGAATACATTCTAGAGATCTGCTGTACAATATTGTGATTATAGTTAATAATACTATATTGGATACTTAATATTTGTTATGGGGCTAGACGTCACGTCATGTTCTTACCACAATAAAAAATTTTGAAGATTAAAATAAAACCAAATGAAAAGCAACTCCACAACAACTAGGTAAAGCTCTGAGACCAAATTAACTTCTCTTGGGAGGCCAGTGATACCCAATCAGAGGGCTTCTTTACCCTGAGTGAGCACTTCTTGGCCTTCACTTTGTGCAAAGTTGTTACTGGCAAACAACCTCTGTGTACACACAGCCTGGTTTCCCACATAAGATCCACCTGTAGTCTGGGCTTCAGGAGGGAAGCATTTTCTTGGGCTACTGAAATTCTGCAGGCGAACATATCTTAGCTCTCCTTTCCCTCCCTTGATATATGAGGACTCGTGACAATGTAAACCCCACCCAACCAGAAACATACCCTTTTTCAAGAAGAAACTTGACCACATCTATGTTTCCAGTCGCACAAGCAGTCATCAGCGGGGTTTTGTAATAATTATCCTTCATATCCACGGGTATTCCTGACTCGAACGCCTTCTTCAGAGAAGCTAGGTCCCCTGCCTTGGTGATAAAGTTAATATTCGAAAATACCTTCCCGGAGTCATCGATGTACCAAGCAGAGTCGTCCTGGATGGGGTGTTCGGGGGGGCGATCCCGGTTGAACCGATTGCAGTCCGTGACGTTGGAGTAGGTTTCAATCATGTAATAGGGAGGCCCGCCGTCGCTGCGGCGTGGGAACGCGTCGTTGGGGATCACACAGATGGGGAGGGGGAGAACGAACTTGCCTTTCTTGGCCTTCTTGGCTAGCCCCTTCTTCTTTCTTTTAGGCCCATAGGATCCCAGGACGAAAGACTTGCTCAGGTATTTGGTTCCCTTGAAGAAATCGTTGATGTTGACGCCCGCGCCCCGGACCTTCTCATGAAGCTGGGCTACGAGAGACAGCTGGTCCGAGGTCACGAACTCCTGCCTCTCCTCCAGCACCATCACGAAGTCCTCCTTGCCGACGGTCCCGTTGCCCCTGTCCACAAACGACAGGGCCTCCCGCAGGAAGGCCTCGTACTCTGCCGACCAGTCGTGAAGTCGAAGGGCCCAGAGGGGATTCGGGTTTTTGACCCCCGGCTTGGCCAGTCTGTTGGCGATTCTCTCCGCCCGCCGTATTTCTTTGCCTGCTAGTTTGAAGCCGCCTTCCTTAGCCACAGCCCTGGGCGTCTTATGGTCTAAATTCTTCCATTTCAGGTCACATCCTAAAACGTGAAGCATCGCTATTACGAAGGGCGCCAACAAACGACATTCATCCAACTGTTTTCCTAATTTCAAGGGCTTAGTCAAAAGCTGGTCCCCAAATTATTCATAGATAGAGATGAGCACGTTTGTCTATTATAATTACAAAGTTAAGCTGTTATTTATGTATTCATTTTGCGCTTTACTTTGGTGGATTCCCAGGGAGATGGGTTTTCAGTTTACATTATCCGCTGCCAAAGGATTAAGACATTAATCCCTATAGATACTTCAAATGAATACCATACTAGGATACTTGTGAAGGGGTCTCCATGCCAAACAGGAAAAGGGTAAGGGTGACACTTGAATTTGGAAGGAAACTGGATTCAGACAGCTTACGTGGGCTCTCGGGAGCTCACAGTGCTGAAGGACACCTGTTTCTTTTGAATGATGATGACTATCAGTCTGCGTGCAATCTAAAATGATATTTTATCTGTATTCTGCATGAAATTAATGTCACTTATATAGATCTGCTGTTTTGTAGTGAGGTCATGTGAATAATCTAACAGAGGAAAAAGTAATTTGTTCATCAGATCTAAAAGGGTTCCAGTATTACATTTGACCAAGTTATATATTAAAATTCATTTTCCATTTTGGGTCCTTACTTAAAGTCAAGAGACCAACATTACATGTAAGTATTCTCTAAAAAAACATACTTTCTTGAATGGATGGGGGGGTTCTACTTAGTGCTACCAGGAAGGCTATCTTGTCTATAATAAGTGCCTTGAGACGTTAAAAATTCATTATGTATATAAATGGCAGACTATGAAGAAGTTCTTTCTAGTATTTTGACTCTAGAAGACCCTTCTATTGCTTTGCCAACATCACATCATAAAAAAAATTGCTACCCAGTTAGTATCTCTAGCAACCAAAACATATAGGCGGCTGCATGTAAAAACAAAACATGCCTCTCCAACACTTTATAGCTTTATGCCTCGTCAAAAAGAACATTAATCACCAATGCTTTTCAAGATTAATATTTCCTTTAGTATTGTCAAAAATTAAAAAATTATGCTCAGGCTGATAAGTGACAGAAAAAGTGTATTAGGACAATAAAGATTCTAAAATATCTATATTGGACAGTTTTAAGCACAGTAACTACTGGGAAGGGGTCTCGATGGTATAATTCTATAGCATAGTAATTCCATAGTAATTGCGAGTATGCTGTTTTTACTGAGCTTTTTGCTTATTCAGGGTGTCTAGGGGGATATCTACCATCTCCCAAGCCATTCCTATATTCTGCCCAGCACTGTGGATCCAAGGATTATTAAAGCTGCTTAAGCTTACTGTTTTCTGTTCCTCCTAGTCAGAAACCTTTATGTGGATAAAAGACTAAGACATCCCAGCTTAAAGATCTGAAGGCATTTTTCCTCCCCTTTTGACTTAAGAGAATTTTTGTCTCCTCTATGATTAGTAAATCAAGATCCATTCATTCCCTTTGTGACTTACGTTCCTCTCTGGTCAAGATGCTCAACTTTAGGGGCTGGTGCTGTAGACACCCGCAGCCAAAGGCCCATGAAAGGGAGGCTTCGCCGCGGGGTGGGTTATTTAGGAGAACTACTCCAAACTCCCCTCCGTCCCTGGACAGGGGAGCACACTGCTGACAGGGACTTGTAAATTGCTCCAGTGACAGGACCAGGGGCAAAAGAGGAGCCTATTGAAGAAGACAGTTTAATGTGGGAAAAGAATTCAGCCTTTGCACTGAAGTATAGAAGAGACCAAACCGACAGGGTTTACTCAGAAATGAGCATTTTATTGCTAATGGTTTCTTGCTGCTCTGATTGACTTAGACCTAAGATTTTAAAGGTGGATATGTAACTGGTAACTCTGCTACTATGGAACTGAGTCACCCAGTTAGAATCTGGTGATGTGGTTGTACTTCCAAACACGCTACAGAACTCAGAACATTTTCGGACATTTGTTTTAAAATCACAGTGTAGTCTTATGACCCGGCCATACAAATCTTTTCTGTATGACTGGGGAAGGCCTGTGACATGGCCCAAGCTCTGGCCCTTTGCTTCTGTTGGTTTTCTATGTGTGTGTGAGCAATAGAGTATATGTTTGGTGATGTTTGTCCCAATAAGAAAGCAGTTGACATGTTAAAGTTGAAGAAGCTTGTCTCAATCTGGGCAGATGTCTAGTTTTTAGAAACACACTGTATTAGGAATGAAATGTCAAAATAAACTGCTGATTGTAACAGATTTGAAAGCCAGACTGATGAGATGGTTTATGAGGGCAAAAATTGCATTCGATATGTTTTCCTGTATTTGTTAAAAGTGTTTATTGTTTTGGTTGGTGAGAGAGGAGTAACCAGTCATTTCACTATTAGTTACACAGGCACATTAGTTTTATTTAGAATATTAGTGGTTACGGTATGGGATCTCCAGGTCCCAGTGACTTCTGAAATTCGGTGCCCATGTAGAGGACCGAAAACCAAAAGGACTTTCTCTGCTCTAATATAGAGTCATAGGACTTTAAGTTTTGCCTATTTTTCAGAAACTGAAAAGGAAAAACAAAAACAAAACAACTACCATAAAGTTCACCAGAATACAGTCCATCTCTAACAAAGATTTTTAAAATTTTAATGTATTTGATTAGCATGTAATTAACAACAAATTGACCCATGTCTTCAAACTTAGTTAATATTATCATTTTAAGGAATACATTAAACTATACATAACATAGTTTATATTCCTAAACTAAGTTACTTAAAAGCTACAGGAAAAGCTAAAATGATAAATGTTAGTTACATTTCAAATTTTCCATGAAAATTTTCAATTTATTTCATATTTCCCCCCAAAATATTTCCCCCATAATTTCAAATTATCCAGAAATGTTATTCTATTGCCCTTGACACAATAGAATATTTTAAATAAAATAATTGAGAATTAAAAGATATGGCTTCCAGTGTTTGTCCTTGTTTAGATTGATGTTCACATGTATTTTAAAAGGGAGTTTAATAACTATAAACATTTTAGAATAATTTGTTGTCTCATGATTAGATTTTTAAAAATAACCTAAAAATATTTGGGAAAATGGGTTTTTATCGTTTTTAACAGAAAGTAGAGTAAGAAAAAAAATTCAATTTTCTTTCTACATACATGAGTGAGGTTGGGCTATTGAAAACATAAGCAACTGACAAGTGACAGACCCAGATTCTCTATTTAACTATAACATGGGTAAACCATAAATACTTTAAACATAAAATTGCTAAACAAATTTACCTCGCTGAGCTATATATTTACAGCAATCTGCGAAACCACCCATGGCAGCGTAATGAAGTGGTGTGTTCCCATTCATTGCGATCAGCCCCATGTCTCCGTTGTAGGCAAAAAGCAGCTTCAATATCTGCAAAATAGGTAGCGGAGAATGTAGAGGAACAGGAATGCACATAGAGCGAATGAAGACTGCACCCAGGCCTATGCTGTCCAGTACATTACATGTTAGCCACATGTGGCTATTTAAAATCAAATCAAAATGAATTAGATAGAAAACCTTAAAAATACAGTTTCTTAGTGCCACTAGCTATATTTAAAGAACTCAGAAGCCATATGTGGCTACTGTATTGTACTCTATTGTACAGCACAGATATAGCATGTTTTTATCTTTGCCAAAATTTCTATAAAACAACATTGATCTAGAGTCTAAGAAACAATACTCAGCTGGGGGACCCCCATTTTGGTAAAACTAAGCAATTTTAGAAAGCATTGGACTATGGCAAACACCCTCAGGGGAGCAAATTCTTTACTAAATGTAACTTCTATTGTGATGCATATTTTTACTGCAGGGAAGAGACTCAATGAAAAAAATAAGTGTAACTATGTTAAAACTCAGAGAAAACTGAGTAAAGAAATTTTAGGTGCAATTCAGAATTTTAAAAGGTAAGGTCATTTTTGGTTCCTGTTTTTTTTCCTGCAATGTCACTGTACCTATGAGATAACCTTTGCTGATATGTCCGGATAACCAGAATAGAGTATGTTGGCATTGTTTTCCCCACAATTAGATCAGAATGTATTTTGAAGATTCTAATACGTGATGGAGGCATAAAATATAGTAGCCCCGTAGGAAAAACTTTTAAATTGTCATAGTTAAGCATACACAAAACACACTATTAGTATTATTAAATGTATAAGTTGGTAAGCAGGTAAAATTGAACAAAGAGCTAGAATATGTTTTTAAAAATAATATTTGGTATAAGATATCATTTTAGAATTATTTTAGAAAATCAAGATGGTGAACTCAGAAAAAATTCTGCCTTCAATGTAACCTGCATGATATTTAAGATTTTTGAGAAAAAGGAGAGAAAATTTTAAGCAACACATTTTAAAGCAAAGAGCAGATTATTACATCAAAAAAGCCTCCTTTGGCAGCGAAATGTGCAGCGTGATGTCTCTCGTTATCGAACGCGTTCACCTGACCTCCTCTTTCCAGGATCCCTCGGACTAGCTCGATCACTCCTTCCCTCGACGCTTCCATCAAAGCCGTGCGCCCTGTGGACTGGACACGAGGCAGATCAGATGCTGTGTATGCCCGTCACGCTAAGGGACGCGTCTGGTCTAAATACGAGCTAAATCCATCTGGCCTTAGAGTCAGTGACATGTTTAGTTCTTGGCATTTGCATTAGTTTCATGTAACAAATAGGAGAAATTAATCCAGTACAGTGGGTGAATATCCAAAATGTAGAATTCTAAAATCAGAGTCAAGGTCATACCAGATGTCCCTGTGAGAAAAATGCAGTTCTTGCGAAGGTTTTAGAGCAAAAAGGGAGAAGAGAGGGTAAAATATATGCTAAAATTAGGTCATAGGTGTTTTCTAATGTGAAAAAACCTGATTTTATTGTCTCAAAATGACAAAAGATAAGAAAATTCAATAAAATTAGCCAAACGAGGAGAGGGACCTAAACAAATAATGAAAAAAGCATAACTGCATATTCTCTTTTCAAAAAAGATAAATTTTTATTAGGCATTAGTGATACCTTGTCTATTTCCTATAATGGTCTTTAAACATTATGCATAATAAATAGCAATTTTCCAAGCGTAATTAGGAAATAAAATGTAGGATTATGGTGACAGAAAGATAACGAAAACATATCGTCTTAAAGCATTTTGAATAGAAATGAACAGCCTCTGAGCCAAAAGAATAATTTTACCATATTTAAATGCAAAAGCTACACTGATAAGATTCTATAATTGAAAAAAAACAGAGAATATTTCTAATCGCAGGAATAGTCATACTGAGTTGATAGCATTTGGATTGGCTCCTTTTTCCAAAAATGTCAAGCACATTTCTTTAATGTCATGGGCTTCTTCGCAAGCTTTCAGGAACACGGGCTTTCCCTCGTAGGAAGAATTGTTGACATCGGCGCCGTGTTCCAGGGCAATCAACGCACAGCGGTAGTGCCTCTTGGTAGGTAAAATGCAGTAAAACAAAACACCTGTAGAAAAATAGAATCCCCAAAGAATACTTATGAACAGTCTCTATGCATTTCAGTCAGCTGAAAAGGAGAAACAGAATAATTTGAAAATCCATAATTAGCTAAAGAGACAGAGCAAAGGCCTATCTGTCTTCGTTTCCCTCTGAAACGAACAGAAACGCCAAGACAGAGACACAAGCAAACAAAAAACTCAACCTGTGATAGTTAGAAAATCGTCACAAGCAAGTGTGGCTTAGAGCTCTGCCTTCTCCTATTCTGCAAAGGGAAAGTACAGTGTGGGTGGAGACGATGTCCCACATCCTTCCAAAGATCCAATAAGCAGTTTAATTTCAATGCTGGCTTAGCCTTTAGAAACAATGTGCGTGAGTCAAGCGTCCGTCCCTGGAAAACAGGATGCGAATGGCAGAGAGGCCGCTGTGGAACAGGAGAAAGAGTCTGGCACGTGCAGCCACACTGAGGCATGTGCAAGGTGAGCGAGGCTCATTGGTGCGTGGGAGACAGGACACGCGGTGCACCGAGCACAGCGTGGGTTACGTGGCCGCGTGGCACAGGGCAGGGCGAGGGAGCTTCTGTGTGAAACAAGATTCCGTGCTTGTTTCGAGTTTCCTCTGACACTCTGAGTTCTCCCTATGTGCTTTGCCATATTGTTTTCTCAGACACTCATCTCCCAGAACCTTGACAGGCTTAATATTAATTTGAATGAGCTTAAATTTTAACCGTGGGGCTGTTAACATTTACTACAAATATTCACGTGACCTCGTTTCTCATTTTACCTTGATGAGTTTTCATTTTACCATTTTCCATTTTTATGCTATACAATTTCTCAGCCTGTTTTCCTTGATTTATATCTTTTCCAAACTCAAGGAGGTAAATGTTTTGCGTTACAGTGTTTCGCAAAGTATATTCAACAAAACTCCATAAGATGCCATAAGGAAGAACTATTTCATGGTCAAATAAATATGGGAAATGTCACCGTCTTTAGTCTGTCCAACAAATGTGAAATCAACATGCCTCAATTTGTCCTACCCAACGTTTCTCTAATGAATCTGTCAGTGGAACCAATTTTGCATGTAGCTTTTGTCAACATCCCAGTGATTCCGTGGTCTGTGAAACACGCTTTGGAAAATGATATTCAGTAGAGCTTTGAGAGGCTCCTGTTGTTTTTCTAGGATATGACATTTTAGAACACATTTGACCCCTGAATGCACCTGAAATTTTGTTACATGGTGCCATTAAGCAATTAAATAATTCTTCCTGTCTCTGTCCTCTCCTCTCTTTTAAGCAAGTCACTGTTTGGAGAGAGTTACAAAAGTAGATTTTGTGCTTGTCAGAAAACATTAACATTATAAAATTGGATTCATTTCTCTACTGCAGGGCTGATGATAATGGCTTTGTACTTGATGCAACTCTTTGGGACAACTGATGAAATCTATCCATTTATATTCAGCCTAACAGTAAGTTTCTTAGTGATTTTCATGAGGCTATGTCAACTCTTGCTGGAACCTGGGGCCACTTGGCAAGAAGCTCCCGGACCATGGTCTTGAGATGGGATTAGGGAGGGAAACAGGGTAGGGAAGTGGGGCTGTCTCACCTGAATAATCATGGAAATGCCATGTGTCAAGTTTCAAGTCACATTTCCAAATTATTTAAAGAGATCCTAGAGAGTTGGAGTTTATTCCAGAATCCACCTTAATCCTTCAAATTCCCAAGTATAACTAACGCCTTTCTCTATCGGACTGCTATTGAGGGGAGACAAAAATCCTTCTGGGGACCTAAGTCTAGTACAACTCCAGGTTCTAAACTATCAAAAGGAATAATCAGTGTTCCCCTTCTTTTGATCTAAACAAGATTTTATATTTTATGATGAGTGATTATGATTACAGTAATATTAATGTGTGCCATGTTGAAAATTATCCACATTTAGAAAAAAGTACCTGACACAGGTTAATCTAATTCTAATTTTCATTTTAGATGAAAAAACTCTCAGAGCTGATTTCCCTAAGACTTACCTATACCGTTTTCTAATTATGGGGAGTCGGTATCCCTAGGTGCAGGAGTAATTAACTTCTAAAGTTGGAAAGCAAACAAGTTCACTTTACTGATTTCTGGCTAGAAGAAGAATTTCATCTGCTAGGTAGAATGTTGGGATTTTTTACCTTTTCCTTCATTATCAACTGATGTCATATCCGCCTTGGCCTTCGCTAATATTTCCATGGACAATTCATGGCCCAGTTCGGCGGCCCTCATTGCCGGAGTGCAGCCCATTCTGTCTTTCACGTCGGGGTGAGCACCGAGGCTGAGGAGGAAGCTGACCATATCAATGTCATTGGACACCGAGGCCAAGTGCAGGGCGCTCTGCCCATCGACAGGATCTGTGAAGTTGATCAGTTCAGGGTAACCAAGTCTGATCAGCTTCTCTATCTGCTTCGTGTCTTTGTTCCGAACACACTGAAGAACTTTGTAGATCTGCAGGTTCTCAAGTCTTCTGTCTGCTAAAGCCATACTTGATCAGCTTCTTGAAAATGCTTTTGTGGACCAAAACAAATACTAAAGCAGGAAACACACACATGCAAAACAAAACAAAACAAAACAAAAAACATGTAACTCAAAGTTAATTATGTCGTCTTTATTTTGATTAAATACTATTTTAAGCCTTCGCCAAGAAGAGAGGCTGTTTCTTATGCAATGTTAGTATCATAATTTATTGCAACTGATTTCATGAAAGGAGAAATTACAAAATAAAAAATCTTCAACAATCCAAGTTAAAACATTTCAAAATGAATCCTCCATCATAATGAATACTCTGCAGTTTTCCTGTTATCTCCTTTAATTTTCCCTCCTCGACACAGCCTTCCCATTTACCTATGAACAAGGGGAAACTAACTAAATTGCCATATGGGTTTTAGTAGTTAAAACGTGATACGGAACATGCATCATTTTGAGGTGCTCATTATAAAGGCGAACCTACTATGCTCTGTGAGATACCAAAGACAGATAGGTAATTCTTTTGTCATCTTATGTGACAATGAGGCAAAAATCTTTTGAACTGAGGAGCAGGCCAGGCTAGGTACTCCCAGCTTGCTGTCCTCCATATTTTTGGGGTCGGTGGGTGTGGGGGACAGGTTATCATATAGGAAAACTATTCTACATAGTACAGTGGTACTATCCGATGCCAAATAATTGTCACAGCCCCTAATTTGTCTCACTGCTTCCACAACAGCCCCTATAGTCCCATCTCTATTCAATCCCCAGAAAAAAAAAATCTTTTAAAAATGTAGATCAGATAAGATCAGACAAGCTTGTGCCTCAGCCTTTTGGATGGGGCTGCCCCTTCCATTTCCTATGACAGCAATGGGTCCGCAACCTAGCCTGTGTGATGAACACTCTCCCCAGGTACAGTAAATGTCTCAAAACTATGCTCAGAAAGACGTCAGCCAATCAGCGTCCTATGGGGCCCTTCTGCCAGAACTGTAAGGAAAGACTGCGTGTCCTGCTCAAGTTGTTAAGCAGTGGGGTCGGGGCTGGGGCTGCAGGCAGCAACGCTGGCTGTCACAGACAGTGACAGACTGAGACTGACGGCAGCAGCTGCTCTCAGGACTCAGCTGTGCTAGGAGTCACCTACGGCTTCAACGTTCAGGGTGGCATGAGTAAAAACACCCTTCCCCTGACTTTATTTTGGTAGGAGCTAGTGAGCTGGGTTCCTGTTATTTTCCATGAAAAGATTCCATCTTACTGCAAAATCTGAAACTGTGCCATCTTTTCCCTTACATTCCCTGCGGCAGTGGCAGTGAGTTCCGCTGTTGACCACTTGTCCCTTCTTTGATGGTGTCTCTCTAGGCAACCATAACATCTCCATTGCCTGTTTCCCTCCTGCGTCCCTCCCACTGCTTACTCTCCTTTGCCGGTGCCTCCTCTTCAGTTAGAAGCCTAGCTGTTGGAGTGTCCAGGGCGAAGCCCTCAGGACCCTTCTCTATGCTCAAACACCCCCCGGTGATCTCATCCCATCTGATGATCTTTATTCCAATTTGCAGGTTCTAACTGCTCACTCTCAAATTTTTACAGCCATCTCTGACTCTCCTCAGAGCTCCAAAGCTATGCATCTGCCAGGCAACTCTTCATTCTCACTTGGACATTTAGTAGGCATCTAAAATGTAACATGTCCAGCACAGACCTCTTGCCATCTCCCAGACCTTCCACAGTTCTCCCTATTTCCAATAATGACATCACCATCCAACTAAAAAACCCCAAAACTTTTTTACCTAGTTTTTAGTCAGGTAAAAAACTAGGAGTTACTCTTCATTCTTTCCCTCCCTCACAGATCCCCTACTCTGTCAGCTCTACCTCCTGACATCAACCTCCAGTGGTACTATCCTAGGCCAAATCATTGCTACAGCTTTCTAATTTGTCTCACTGCTTCCTCGACAGCCCTCTATAGCTCATTCTCTACCAAGCCCCAGAAACATCTTTTAAAAATGTAGATCACATAAGATCAGACAAACTTCTACCCCCAAATTTTAGTATAACTATTTTTAAATATAAAAAAATTTGAACACCGTATATCCACCATTGAGACCCTACCATTAATGCTTGACTTGCTTTATCACATATCTATCAATTGTATTTTTCTAATCCATTTCAAAGTTAATTGCAGACATATTTCAGCATACATATCCTTAAATGGAGTTTAATATTTGTTTATAGGTCTTTTTTTTAATCTTTTGAATATGTAATGAAAGGTGTATTAAGTGTACCATTCCATGAGTTTTGACAGATGCATACGTCTATGTAACCCAATCTCCTCTCAAGATTTAGAACATTACCTCATGCCAGTACATTCTCTCCATACCATCTTTTAAAAGCATTTCAATATCTTTCCATTATTATCAGAAAAACAACCACCACCCTCTGATGACCTCGTCAGGTCCCTTCTCCTGACCCTCAAACCTCACTTCACTCTCCCCTGATTTAGTGATCTCCAGTTACACTGGCTTTCTTTCTGTTTACGGAACAAAAGCTCATTCCTGCCTCTGGAACGTCTTGTTCCCTCAGTCTGCAGTGCCCTTTGCTCAGAATTTCCTTTGGTTGGCACTTCTCACCATTAAAATTGATGCCACCATGTTACTTCGTTCCTTTGGTTTTTTTCCTTCATAATGAAATGAAACGTTTCTCTATATAACATTTCTATAGACATATAGATATAGGTATATTCAATTTATATATTATGTGTCTTCCCCACTAGTATGTAGTCTTCATGCAACAGAAGCTTTATATTATAATGACCATTATTTCTCCACCAGCAAGAACCCGACTCATTATGAGGCATTCAATAAATGTCTGCTCAGTAGATGACCAGAAGTTTAAAGACTGAGGAGTGGAAGGAATCAAGGACAATTCCTAGGTTTCTGGCTTGAGCAACTGGCTAGCTGTGCCTGAGATGGGTAGCTCGGGATGGGGTCCAGGCTGGTCTGAGAGTATAGCTGGTTAAGCTTGGAGCATGCTGAATTAGAAGCCACTAGGCAATAGGATACACAATTCAGGAGAGATCTGAGCCTGGTCTATGTGGAATTACGAGGTTTTCGGGGGTTGCAGAGCAGCCTGAGACTGGGTGAGAGCAAAGAGGAGTTTCCAGTGGAAAGGGTGACCACGGCCATCAAATGCACGCTGTCATCTTGTCCTTCCTTTTTCCTTACTCTACTGCCTGCTGTTATTCTTTGTGCCTCCTCCTGTCCTGATGGGACATCAGCCATCACAGGGCTTGTGGCTTTAATGTCCTGTTTGCTGTAGCCCCTCTCTTCCCTTCTCATCTGTTTATAATGTGTGCTGGACTAGGATACCAGATAAGGAAGCCTGTTAGGACCGCGTGCATACATAGGCTCCCAGTAAGTCCTGAACTGCTTCAGAAGTCATCTGTCTACTTGGCCTATGCTGCATGCCTGGTGACGTTTATTTTAGCTGCTGTTTGTGGCTGGTTTTAGTATTGTCAGTCCAATTCTAGTGAGGTGCAGTGTCGTCATACATGTATGCTTACATACGTGCATCTTACACAGAACAAAATATGATGCTCCCAAGTAGCTTACTGATTGTCCTGAATCCATGCCACCTCACTGGTGGACAGAGACTTCCAAATCAGTGACTTCTTTGTTGACTGACAGCTCCCACCCCAAAGAATTAGCAGCAGGTGGCATTGCCCAATCAAGCTACAACGGTCAATTCAGCAATCTGTGGGCTAGTTTTGTGGCTTGTATCCCTCACAACTAAAACCCCAAGATGCTGGGGAGAGAACAGTGCCCTATGCAGTGACCTTCACAGCCAACCGCCAAGACGGACCAAGAGCCTTGCCCACTGGAGGAAATAACAGAAGTCCCGCCCTCTAGTGCTGGGTTCCTCAGGAGAGTGAGTCACCACACATCCACATACCCCAGCATGTGTATGTCACCTCAGCATGGCCCTGGGCACCTCGCACATCCACATCTAACCATTTATGTGGACAGTGTCAGAAGAGTGGACTAGAACAGGATTTCCTGACTTGAGGGCCACCTTGGGTCTGAATATCCTGACATATGGAAATCTGTGTGCCTGTGTGTGGAGGGAGGGTGTTCAGTTTCACTTTTCTCAGGGGGGAGTCCATGGAGCTCATCAACTTCTCAAAGGAGTCTGTGCGACAAAGGTGTTTGTTGGAGGAATGGAGGGAAACCGGCTTCGAAGAGTGGAAAGAGTGTAGGATTGGAGGTGGGGGGAATCCGTTTTGGTGACCCACCCGCCCCTGCATTATAATTTATACCTACTGGTTGGACAAATCTGGACAGCTACCTACATAGTTTGTGCCTCAGTCTCTTCATCTGTGAAATGGGCATAACAATAGTACCCACTTTGCGGGGCTGTGTGGAGGGGAAATGTGCTAACTTGGCAAAGTCCCTCAATACCAGCTCACTCTGAATCATCACACTTCCGTGGGTCTCAGCTCACCCACAAGCCACGGTTCACATTGCGGGTGGGGGGTTCCTTACTGTCCCTTTCGGTTTTAAGCCTCAGAAGAATCCAGAGGGGAGGGGTGGGTAGGATCTAATTTCAAGGGGAAGCCCAGGGGGCAGGGGCCAAGGTGCCAGGCTCACCTCTCAGTCGTGGGGGTGATCAGGAGCCACGGGTGTCCAGGCCTCCGGGAGCCTCGACCTGCGGGGGGCCGGGCGACCCCAGCCCTCCTCCTCAGCAGCCTGGGGGGGCCCCGGGGCCA